ATTGAATGTGTTGTTTTATTTAGATTGATATTTATCAAACATTTGAACATGAGCTTGTTACCTTATTTGGATTGCTATTTGTCAGGGATTAAACATGTATGGGATTTCTATTTTATAAATTTTGTGAGTTTGGATGAATTTGGTGAATTGGATATAAATTTAGATGATTGGATTCTTTGATTATATTTTGTAAATTTGATTTGCAGGAATATATATATATATATCTATATATGACGTATATATGACGTCATCCGGTTCGACCCCTATTGACCCCGATCGAACCCATTGACCCCTGACCCCTGAGCTCGACCGAGTCGATTCCCGGGCCGAGTCTGAAAACATAGAGAGACACTACTGAGCGTGTTTATCATTCTATTTTCCTTTTTTTTCGGTGAGGGGAAATAGAGAAAATCATTGATTTTATCCCTTGTCAAGCAGTGTTTGGAAGAGCATCAGCAGCGAAATTACTTTCTTTGAGTTTATATTCTGATTGACAACTGAGGTTCATGTTCATCATCTCTTGACCCTCCATCAATGCCAATGGAGTTGTACAAACAGATTAGATTTTACAGCTAGCGGGTAGTTGACTATCATCTGAACGGATCGGCAAGGCAAATGATCTATATATCTTGAGCAAGTCCCATACCATTAATCATAATTAAAACGTATTAGTTGAATATTTTCTTTACGATCTCGAAAATGACTTGTTATGCCTGCTAATCCATTAGGAATGCTAGAACCATCAGTAGTACTAGTAATAATAAGGGACCGATTACAGGACCAGGAATCCATGGCAATTCAAACATTTCAATTCATCTATTCGGAAATCTGTACATGCTAGGTAAAGGTTTGAAATAAGAACTGATTCCCGGACGGACACCAATTCTCAAGACTTAATTAGGTCCTGCGAAAAGGGAATGTGAATTTTAAGGCGAAGGGCATATCTTCAGCAACTTAATCAAACAGATATAGTACTACTTCTTTCCGAGTAAAGGGCTACAATCATTACTGATTCCCGTACACTAATTCTCAAAAATTAATCGGTGCCCCCCTAAAAGATAGAGGAGGTTTTTACTTTTTAGGTGTACATTCAGCAACATAATCACACAGATATAATCAAATATTTACTCAAGAGCAGCATCAAATACATATAGTTCCACTGAGACTGCTGTATACCAACAAGAATTGAAACAGAAATCCGCGCCGAGTCGGGATTGAAGAAGCCCTTCTTCATGGGCAAGAGGCAAGAGCGAGAGCCAAATCTCTAACTTTGAAAGCGTGGGCTGCTGCATCATGGGAAGGGGCCATTTCCTTTCAACGTAGTTTCAACTAACTATTGTCAGCCCTTTTAATTGCTGCATATTTCCTCTCCACCTTCCTTCCCATCTCTGATTTTCTGAGAGTCTCGAGTTATGTGTTGTTTGTTCCCTTTCCCCAGTACGCAATATGGGGTACCAGGACTAAGAATCCACAAAATGGGGTCGTTGAAGATTTTGCTGGCTGATTATTTTAAACTGGTAATTCGTGAATTAAACCATCTGCTTGCCTTGTGATGCTTGGTAGGGTTTGTTGTAAAACAAGTAAGAATTTTTAAACTAATAGGTGCAATACATGCTACAAGTGCAAAAAAGTGAATTAAAAAAAATTATGTATATTATACATTCATATCTTTTAATCTTAAAAAGAAAAGCCTTTCTGATCGCATGTGCTTCCTCCACAGTTGAGTTGGCTCACCATTTCTGCATTCACTTCCTGCCTGTGCTTCTATTAAATTCCCATCTTCCTTCCTAACAACAACAATCCCTCATTCTATTCTCCTCTTCTGCATGTTCAAAGCTGCATTAGTATTCAGCATAATTCCCCTTATCTCCTTCTTCGTCACCCATTTATCTCCTTCTTTGTCATAATTCCCCTTACTTTCCTCATTGATTCTTCCTTCTTAGTTGCTTCATTGTATTCCAACCACTCTTGCATTGCTTTATTTATAGTCATTCCTGGACAGTTCTCCTCTTACCTGAATTGAATCTGGTTTCCGGATTTCCAAACTTACCACAGGATATTTATTGTTAGATTAATATGATCCATACCTTCGGTCATTTCCTTTCCTTCAATGAGACTGTTTCACCAATGCGAGAAGTTATGCCTATATTTATTTAATTACACACCAATTTTTTTTTATCTCAAGTCAACTACCCTTTTATTTTTATTTCATTCTTTTACTTAATTTCAATAAAAAAATTGCTTAATTAATTGTTGTAATTTTGTTTTGAAGGCTTGTGCAAGAAAAAAAAAATAAGAGAAAGAAAAAGCAGAAAATGGAAATTCAAAGAAAAAAGCAGAAAACTATAGGATATACGTGTTAACTCAACTTCTTGATATGGGTTGCGGCTACCTGGTTGGTTTTGACTCAATTTCTTGACATTGATTACGATTCCATCGCTCTAGGGACCGATTTCTCTACCTTCCTATAGGCTGTAGGAGGACACAAATGACATAGTGGGGACTAAAGTATTTGCATAAAGTGTTCCTGAAAGAAAAAAAAAATTGTTCCTCTCATAAAACAAGAGTTTTGTTCACCATAATTTCTACAACACCGAGAACGAATACTATGAAATATAATATCAAACATATTTTACAAAGCTTTCAAAAAATGACGGTGCAAATTTTGGTTTAATATACAAATTTAGTAAACTTACGCACAAAAATCGTACATTAATAATACGAATATATTTAAAATTATGGAACTAAAATTTTTTAACTATTGCTAAGTTTTGCTAAACATTTTATTCTTTTGTTAATATTGCTTTAGGTACATTGGTCTTGCATAGTCTCCAAAAAAGATTTCTCATTCAACTTTTGTATAGCTCTATAGAAATTTTGTACAATAACTTAATAGTTTGGAGACTTTCATTCATTCCTATGTTTTAGAGGAGATAAATTAGACATACATTAACATGAATTTAACAGGATAGTTAGTAAAATCTCATATTACATGCGTTGTAAGTAGATTAAAAAAATATTCATAATACACATTCATATATTTATCAAACACTCACAATAATTTTTTTGGTATTATACTCCATTTAGGCTATGTTGTAAGAAATGTAAGCATTTTTACACTAAGAGCTTTAGTACTTGTTATAAGTGCAAAATTTGAATTTCAGATTTGAATAATTATCATACTTACATATCCATTTTAATGTTAAAATGAAATCTTTATAATCATGATTAGGCCTCATCTCTTTTGATTGGAATAAAAAAACAAGGAGGACCATGAGTGCTTGGAAAGTGTCGTTGAAGAAGAAGGCAAATATGTTCTGAAGTCCAGAGTCGCCCCCAATCTAGGCCCAAACTGCATGAGGCCTGGCTTTCTGAAGTCCAGAGTCACCACAATTTAGTCCATTGTAGACTAGTACCTATTTACGAATCTCGGCATGATTAAGAATTTGAAGACAAGATGTCTGGAACTTCATACCCAACACATTCGAAACATCTTTCCAGGTGAGTCTTGCAAGACCCAAACCAATTGTTTACAAATCTAACTAATGTCTTAGCTCTTAGAATAACAAACAATTACTTTGCCATTTAACTTTAGTAATGGACAGGTCATTTTAGCATATCTTGCAACATATCTTGTAATGACAAATAACAAAATTTTCAGTTTTTTCTTTCACTTTAGAATCCAAGGAAAATACTTATATGTAATTTCCATCAAAAAGCTTTTCAAAATAGTGAAGATGAAATAGTTGGCCTTAATGTGCAGAAGAATTGGTGGTAGAAGACCTTGAGAATTCTTGGCCTTAAGGAAACTTTCCTCCGGACGTTCCTCGCCTTTGGTTTTTCATCATTGAGAGAACAGTGAGGTAATCCATGATGAGCTGATAAACAAAAGAACTCCGGACGTAAATCAATTGGGCTTGTAATTCTTTGTGCATTTTTTAATTAAAATAAGATGGATATTATCTAAAAATGCACTTACCTAGGGATGGCAATGGGGGCGGGTGCCCGCGGGGGGCTAATGGGGAGGGGGTGGGGGCGGGGGCGGGGGGAATTTTTTTCCCTCCCGCTTAGAAACCGGCGGGGGGCGGGGGGCGGGGGAGTGTACCCCCGACCCGCCACCCGCTTTAAAAAATAAATATATATGTATATAATTATATATAATATATAATTTAATTAGTTACAAACTTATGATAATGATATTATTAGTTATATGTATTATATAATGTCTATTAGTATATATAATATAATATATATTATTAATTATACTAATAATTATATATGTGTACTAATACAAATTATTAATTGATTATACTAAATTTACTAATACATTTATACTAAATCCCTAATTACACTTAATACAATAACATTTTTTTCTTAAAAAAAGCACAAACACAATAATGAATTAGTGATTGTATTTGTGCCAAAAGTGAAAATTTGATTACTTTAGTTATATTTATTTCATCATGTTGGATTGTATTCAAATAATTTTTATTTGATTGTTTTTATAAGTTTCAATTGTAAAATTACAATGAATAATAATTTGATGATGTGTTGATATTTTAGTACTTGATTATTTGCTAAAATTTAACCATAATAAAATTATATAACAAATTTTTATTAGCTCCACGGGGGCATCCGCGAGGAAAATCCCTCCGCCCACCCCAACCTTCGCCTCATCACTTCCCTCAGCAAGGCAAATGTCAAATTGTCATCTTTAGACCAATAAATACATTGTTCTGTCTGAATTAAGTGGCCCCTGTCTGAAGATATTTTACTATTTTTTTTTTATTTTCCTTTGGGGAGGGGGTTGGGGACTTTTGGTCGTCTTGATTATGTAGCAATATTTTGTGTTTCAACTATATTCTTACTTCATCCTCCTGCATGATGTCCAGAGAACAAGTAGTTAATAGAGTGGTGCTATTTATTTACGACATGGGTTCAGAAAAGTGTTAAAGCTGACATTGGTAGTATAGAAATACCTACAATAACTTAACCGACCCTTAGTCTAGAAGAGCGAAGTTGCTTAATTTAATTATACGATAATTGGCTTGTTACCATAATAGAAACTTGCACAAGTGAAGTGAGCTTGATTTCATTCCTCCTCCAAATTTGGACTTGCTAAATAAGAGAAGAAAGGCATTCAGATTTAGAAAGTGTCAATAATGTTAAAAACAAGCCAAAAAGAGCCATTTCTTTACAAACCCCCAAATCTTTTCCACCAGACACAGATAACCAAAATTATACTCTCTCTCAAGTAAGCATTTGTATAGAGCCCAGGCGAACAGACTGATGCTGGCATCCTTTTACCAAGTTAGAATAATCTACAGCTGATGTCGCCATCATCATCGGAATTCCAGCATTATTCAGTGGCCTATTATTTGCAGTTTGCTCCAGGGATTGCACTTGCTTTTTTAAAAACTTAAGGTAATGAGCCGCCTCGTCCAACATAGAAGCCGTGTCCATTTTAGTCCCTCCTGGAACAAGTCTCTGCAGAATTCTGATCTTCTCACTAATCCGTTCCCTCCGGTGCCTAGCTGCCACACTTTGAGGGTCCTTGGACATCTTCACATTCTTTCTTCTCGGTGGCTTTACCGATTCAGGGTCAATGTGAATCGGCTGCATCATTGCTATGCGGAAAATCATTTCTCTCATCGCATCCATGGAGCTTCTTTTCTGCAATGGATTCGACAATGATGATCCATTTGCAGGTGTAAATTCTGGAACTGCTACAGAAGCAATGCTGCCTGAATCTCGAACAGGGTTGCCCGCGAGTGAGATGGACGATGTTGAAGCAACAATATATGGATTTAGAAATATTGGATCAGTACTTGCGGCACTTTTACTAGATGATCCGAGTTCCGGTGGCTCGGAAATACCATACAGATAATTAGTAGTCGCAGAAGATTGGTAGAACTTGCCAAGGTGCATCCCCGTTGTTGGTGATCCTAATTGATTTTGTGAAGCTGATTTGAGGAGCTCTATCTTCATGCCTGTTGCGATCCTCAAGCTCGAGAGGGGGAGAGAAATGTTTGCTTTGGGTTTGGAATCAGGGAAGGAGGCAGGAGGATGGGAAAGCTACATATATAGCCTCGTGTAGACACTAACATGCTAATTACCACACTGGTAAATTACATGAAGCTGGCTGCCCAGCAGTATATATAGCTGGAATGAGCTATGTGGTAGTGTGTATACATTAAAATACATTATCTTTCGATATGATATATTTTGGTGTCACCAAATCTTGATGATATTTATTCTCTCAAGCCTTTGTTTATTCTATCTTCTGACATTCTTTGTATATCATCAGACAACAATAATAAGTTATGGATTTGCAGGTAGAATTGCACTAATTTATATAGCACACATTATTGCTGATATTTCCGGACCTAATGAGCGAAACGTATACATATTTGTACATGCCCTTTTGATTGTGAAGTTCTTTATTAAACAGAAACTCATGATTCATGATTAGATCAGCAGCATTGAAGTAATAATATGATTGATTCAACAGGTCGGCATCCAAAAAAGGAATTAAGTCCGAAATTAAGGTTGATCCACCCTGATGATGGTCTGATTTTGTTCGTTGTAACTTGTAAGAAATCATTGCTGATCATAGGATTTTACATGTTGTGAACTTTGAATTCCATTTTTTTCAATCTGAACTGTTGTTTTTTTTTTCTTTGGGAAATGGAGGTTGTCACAGCAATAAGTACTACTATATATGTTTATCTATTAACAACAACTCTTAGTCAGATTTTTTTTTTTTTTTTTTTTTTTTTTTGGTCATTTGCTAGAAGAAATTATTTAGAAATCATATCATGGAATGATCGGTGTTCAAATTTTTTTTTTTTTTTTAAAAAAATTTTGCTGACCGAACCTGTCAACATTAATAGAATGTGATAGAACAGTAGGCCCTTCAATGGAGGCATATATTATTGTAATAGTAATATGAGGTTTAGCAATGATAGCATTATCAGACAAAATATCTCTTGTTTCCTAATTCTTTAATACATATTTTAGGTACATCAGCAAATTTCTTTTGCGTATTTGATTCCGATGGGGACTGTGGTGGAGGGAAGAGGCATGGCAATATTATTATGGCAATGGGTCGTTGGACTCAAGGTCAAGGTGCATGAACCAAAACTACTGATTCGAATTTTCATTATTGAGTTTTAATCGTAGCTTGTTGCAGGAAGAGATCTTCCTTCACCTGTTTCATTCCTGATTTGCTTCCAAAAAAAAAAAAATAATAATGATGATGATAAAGGAAGAGCCCCCATTGTCACATGACATCCGTCAGAAGATAACAGCTCCAAAATTCAGAAGCAGTGGGGGTGCCCGCTGCCCACCCCCAGAAAAATGTAAAAAAAAAAAAATGTTCGTATCACCACGCACCTTTACTTCATCAACTCAAAGAGGATTACTCCACACCACTTGGCATTCGGATCTCATCCCCCTCGTAACAACTAACAACGCAGCAGTATACAAGTACAACCCCACGGGATGACTGCTTCATTGGCACGCGTCGCGAGGAGCTGGATTAGGATTAAGTGTAGCAAGAAAGAAAGAATGAGAGATCAAAGACGGTAGTCGGAGTATGCAGTCACGCTGCCGGCCGGAGCAGTAATGACCGAATGTGCTCATGCACTGCACCAAATGAAATATGTCAGCCGCGGATGATGATAACGTTTTGCACGCTAAAAGTGAAAAAAAAAAACAGAGAAAGAAATCTAATTTGACGATCGAAAGGGTCCGTCTCATGAGACAAAAGTAAGAACGGACAGTAAAAAGGATTGAGCACTCAGTGTTTGATCAACGCTCGTCTGTCAGTCTGCTGAACAGAAACCTTCACTCACACCTCTGAAACAGAAATTTGAGCAACTAGTACTCAAAAGAGTGTTTTCAATTTCGGCCATACTAACAACAGGGTTGGTCCGAGTGGTAAGCGGCTCGGATTTGCTTAAACAGGTCTCGTGTTCGAGTTCTAATGTACGTAGATACTCCTGTTGGAAGATTCACCCACTATAGTCAGGTGCGCTACGCGGGTTGGGTCCGGATTAGTTAGGGCAAAGCTTCGGATACCGGGCAGACAACCAAAAAAAAAATTTCGGCCACCCTCAAAAGAGCAGAAAATAATACTCCATAATAATAATAATAAAGGTCTCTTCACCAAAATGGCCGATCATAAATTCCATCTCATCTTTGGCTGTGCCATGTGATTAGCATTAACTCTTTCGTTTTGCTAAGACATTTATGTGCACTTTGAAAATTTTACTACTACTTAACCCGCTTCCCCACCTTTTTTTTTTTTCTTCTTAGAAAAAGACGAAGCCAACGCTCAAGAATAAGGCTGTAGTGAAACTGAGACTAGTAGCCTCACAACCAGGCTCAAGAGTATATAAAGAATTGTTTGAACTCTGTTTAATTAGTTTTTTAATGCACCAAAAAAGGAAAAAGGGAAGAAGAATTCTTAGCACTGCTCTTTTATCTACTGGGTACTTTCTCCTTCGTCTCAATCTCAAAAGCTCGTAGTAAAGACTATGTTTGGGCCGGTACAAAATGAAGTGGGCTCATCGAAGGCATTCTCTCGTGGACTTGACTGGTTAATCCCAATCTAACATGGACACCGATACATTCGTAATTGTTTATCACTTTCCGCTGCCTATATTTACCTATATCTCCTTTTTTTTAAAAAAAACAATTTTTCCGGATGGACAAACACTGCTCGAGAATCCCCAATGAGCTGCTTGCAAGAATTAAATCCATAGCCTCTGGCTGCCTTTTGCAGTTTTAGCTCTCCCTTTTTCTATCTCACTTTTCTGAAGCAAAATAGGCTAGCCTGTTTATCTGTTTACCCGAAGAGTGGGGGATTTTGCAATTTCAATGTTCAGTAGTTCGAACCAAACATCATACCAAACAAATCACTTAAAAAAAAAAAGGAAAGGAAATTAGACCCAAAATAATCGGGGTAAATACTAGACAATAACAGATAGGACAAAAACAGAATTTCTAATAACAGATAAGATAAAATCTCATTCTTTTCCTGTTAAAAATAAATAATTTTTTTTTAAAAAAAAAGATAAGTAAAGAAAAGTGAAAATGAATAAGCAGTGGACTAAACGCTAAACAAAAAGCACGCCTTTCCGCAGTCCCAGGCTTGTCGGTGAATTTCAGTAATCTTCGAGGGGTAGAAAAGAGGGAAAGCCCCACTCTTACCGACATCCCAAACAAGGCGGCCTGAATTGATGATTGCGTGGTCGTGGACAGGAGTGTGGCCCAAAGAGCAACACTCATTGATGACTTCACAGCTGTATCACAACCCCGCAGCCTGCAGCCTCCCAAGAAAACACACACACACAGTCACATACACCCTTCACCCACTGCTGCACCTGCCTGCATGGCATGTGACTCCTTGTCCCTACACCACCTTCCCCTTTTCTCTGGAATAGCGTAATTTGCTGCTCCTACTTCCCACACAGTGTACTGCCCAAACACAGTCGAATTCACTCTTCCCTCCTAGAAAGAAAATTGTTCGTTCAAAGTTCAACTACCCAACTTTGGCCATGGATAGCTCCAAATGCTGCTACCTTTGGTTTTGGGCTTGCAGTTTTCTCCTCATCCTCACGTCCAAGTCACTCGTACTTCATAGAGTTTTAGCTCAACCTGAGGAAGCTGCCACTTTACAGCTCAAAGCTGATTCCTCGGAATGGCCAGCGGGGATGATGTCCCTCTACGACGCTGCGGATGATGTAGTCGGAGACAATGACGACGACATGGAAATGGACGAGGATGCCGTGTCTAGTTCCAGGAGATCGCTGTTTTGGCGGAGAGTGAGGTACTACATTTCATACGCGGCCCTGTCGGCGAATAGGATCCCCTGTCCCCCTCGCTCCGGCAGGTCCTACTACACCCATCACTGCTATTTCGCCAGCGGCCCAGTCCACCCTTATAACCGAGGTTGCTCCGCCATCACCCGTTGCCGCAGATAAACTATTCCCTTCGCCTTTCATCTTGTGTCTGCGTGGTGGTTTCTTTTTATTTGTGCGTCTGCTTATCGTTTGCTTTCTGGTCTCGAAAACTGTCGTCACACACCCCTGTTTTCTTGAGTGCTTTTATATTTTTCTGATCCGTGCCTTCAATTTAAATTGTTTGTTAATTTAAAACTGGATAGAATTTGCTGAGTCTTGAGAGGGAGAGACGATCATTTTCGAGGTGTAAGCTGCTAATGAATTTATCCTAGCAAGCACTGCTTATTTTTGCATGCATTCTCGAACAAATTCGTTGTTAGTAATTAGACTCTCAGTTATTAGAGAGATATGGTGCCGTCTGTAGGATACAATTTGCCTTCGTGTTAACGTTAATCTTTCGGGGAATCAGGCAATAAACTGGAAATTGCAAGTTCAGGAAACCCGAATGCAGCACACTCGACACAAAGTGAAGAAGTTGCGGTGCAGGCAAACCCATAGTCATGACCATGCCCAATTTCCAAATGACCATCTTGAAAGCTGGGGGGGGGGGGAACCAATTGACCAAACCTTCCTGGTTCCCTCAGCGACCTCCATTAATTCCTCAGCTACCAATTACGTACTACTCCTCCGTCCGTTCATTTTGATAGTCTTAGTTTTTTTTTCATACGATTTTAAAAAAAGTAGTTAACTTTGTTGAAACAATCAATTTAGGTAACTATTTTCCTAAAATATTCTCACATTAATTAGAGTATAACTTTATGGGAACTTGAATTGATGGTAAAAAATAAATAAACTCTCATTAAATGGAGTAGGTTTATAGTAATAACAACTTACATTAAATAAGGATATTTTAAGAAAATTAAAATATAATTACATTCTTCAATTGGAAAGTGAATTACAATTTGGGACAGATAAAAAAGGAAAACAGGACTATCAAAGTGGTGGGATGGAAGGAGTAGTTACTACCACCGATCAGTAGACTAAATACTTGAAGACCTGGCAAATTGCTATATCTATCGAATAGGAATTTAGTAGTCGTAAATAAGTGGCAAAATATTATTGGGTTTGGTAGTTAGTTACCAATCCAATACTGGTCCTGCTTCCGGGATGGGAATCTGTTTCAACAATCTTTTTTTAACCTACTGGTAT